TGGCTGATGAATTTCAGACACACTTAGCAGGTACCTAGGTACTTACCTACCTACTAATATATTACAATGTATAATCTTTGTTTCCTCCCGCAATCATCTTTCTCGCTACGCTTGTACATAGTAGAACTATTCTCTATTCCCATGCCTCCTTTCAATCTACCCGAACCATAAAAAGAAATCCACGGAATACCTAGCACCCATGTAAAGTCTTCTCAGTATGGCATGTTCTGGTTGGAATATCTCCTAAACAGCGGAGCCAATGCCGCGGCTAGAGATTTCACCGACCACGAGGCTACACCCATCATGACCGCGGCCTACAATGGCATCGAGTCGGCTGTGGATTTACTTATACGACACGGCGCGGATGTCAATGAGATGGATGAACGGCGCTTCACTGCCCTACATGCGGCCTGCGTGCATCGTAAACCCGAAATTGTCACAGATCTCATTGATAACGGGGCGAAGGTCGATGCCACTAACGTAAGAGGTGAATCGCCTCTTCATTTTATACTCTGCACTGTCACCATGAAGCAATGTTCCAATCATCTAAAGACAACCGAAATTATTCTCAACTTTGGAGCAGATCCGATGCTTGAAGCCAAATTTGCCGAAAAGACCGAGACAGCTCTGGAAATTGCATTTAACATGCCACACGAAGATGTTTTAGAATTGATAATTTCAAAATGCCATCCACGGTTAACCACTAAACAGACTTGGCGTTTATTTGTCAATTTGGCTAGGGCACCGAAACTCCCTCGCCTAAAGCTTCTTCTGATGCTCGACACGCAAAACCTAATTCTTCAAAGTTATCATCTTCTGTTAAAGCTTTTAAAAGGTAACGGAAATACGAGTAAACCGGCACTTCTACTGCTTTCAAAGGGCGCGTTGTGTGATGGACTGTCGGTCTTCTGGACTGCATCTTATCAGAAAGGCACTCGTTTACTACGGAAAACTTTGCTGCGCGGTATTAACCCTAACGTCATTCTTAAACCAGATAACCAATACCCGCTTCTCCTCGAAGCGCTCAGGATAGATTATGTTCTGCAGAGAAGGAAATACCTGAAGCTCCTGATGGAATATGGAACCGATATCACTAAGAGCGTGTACTCCACCAGATCCATGCCAATTTTCATAGATATCATCTCTCACTCTTACCTCTAGAATACTGAAAGCGCTCTAGATGTCCTATTCGAACCCGAATTATTCTAGCGAGTGTCCGAAACTCAACAAATTTCCTTGTTGACCTCTGCATGTTACCTAACACACGTAAAAGTTCTGCGGAAGCCGCTCGACTCCGCTACCGAGAATGTGATCAGCACATTTGTTCGGCGGCATATACACTTATATACGGCGGCGTCCCTTATAACTCGGCTTCTAGACGTGTCCGAGTACTCCCTACCCCTCTAAAACAAGCTGACAATAGAGCATTTTGACATTATGATACACAGACTAAATATATTCATCGAATGCGCCGGGTTTTGGGATTCGGGATCTCTTAATATATCAGCACGAGCTCTAGGTGCTATCGAGTGTCTCATGGCTGTGACACGCAACGGCACACCGGGAAGTAAAGGTGCCTCCTTCTACACAAAGAGAATCCGGACCACCGAGGTTTAATTCCGGGAGTCCGAGCCTTCTAATCGTCCCGCGGCAAAAACTAGTCGAGTATCCCCAGGCGAATATCAAAATATCCCATCTTGGTTTAACCCTACGTCCTACGTTAGACATGCAATAGGAAACGTATGCTCCGTAGATTAATTTCTCATTGCGCTTATCGTTCTCTTAGAGTTTGATATACTTGGTTAGCGATATATATCAATACACCCTATGCTTATTACTAGGTATAGATGAGTCTTTGATAAGAACTCTAGCGTATTCCTATGTTCTACCATTGAAAGTTTATTAGGAGATCTGCCGGTATACCTCAAGGGTTAAATAAATCAATTAGCCAACCTGAATGCGACATAGGAAGTGCAAAGTATCATACTCCACGCCCGATTCGTTGGGTTATTCCTCAACCCCCGCTTACCTCCTCTCCACAGTAACGAATCGCCCCGCGATAAAAGGACATCCGAGGTTATGTTGACGGTTAGTCTATAGTAGCGGTTGACAGTGGGTGGTTTTAGTCATGTTGGCTTCAAGGGAAGTTATCAACATTCATCACGATTGGATATATAGAAATAGTGTCACGCAGGAAAGAACAGGATGGTAGCCCGTCATATCAAAACAGCCGGCCTCGTGGCAAATACCGCGATTAACCAAAAGGTGTCAGATATCGTGAAGAGTGTGATAGATGACATCAAAGCTAATGGTGATAGAGCTGTGAGGTTGTATTCCGAAAGGTTCGATAACTGGTCACCCCCATCTTTTAGATTGACAGAGAGGGAAATTCAAGAATGCATATCTAAAGTACCTACCCAAACTATAATAGACATAAAAGAGGCACAGAAGAATGTTCGGAGATTCGCTGAAGCTCAAAGAGCAAGCATTCAAGACTTCGAGATCGAGATCCAGCCGGGAGTATTCCTCGGACAGAGAAATAACCCTATTAGCACAGCCGGCGCTTACATACCAGGGGGACGTTACCCTCTGCTCGCATCTGCTCATATGACAATATTGACTGCGAAGGTCGCAGGCGTTAAGCATGTTATTGCTTGCACGCCACCTATTCAGGGCAAGATTCCTAATGCTACTGTTGCAGCAGCACATTTCGCCGGTGCGGACGAGATCTTCTTGCTTGGGGGGACGCAGGCTATCGCTGCCATGGCTCTAGGTACAGAATCAATAAAAAAGGTGGATTTCATCGCTGGTCCAGGCAATCCCTTTGTTGCTGAGGCTAAACGCCAATTATTTGGAGAAATCGGCATAGATCTCTTAGCAGGACCGACTGAAGTTCTTGTTGTGGCTGACGAACATGCGGACCCCTTTACGGTTGCGACGGACTTGCTCTCTCAGGCTGAGCACGGGCCGGATTCACCAGCGATATTAATAACGACTTCAGAGACGGTCGGTCAGCAGACAATTAGATTTGTAGATCAGATACTCAAAGACATGCCGACAGCGGGACTCGCGGGAACTTCGTGGCGAGACTACGGTGAAGTGGTGGTAGTGGACAGCCTAGACGAAGCATACGAACTTGCGGATGTGTATTCAAGCGAGCATGTGCAAATCTTAACACAGAATCCTAGGGAAGCGTTGGAGAAGATGAGGAATTACGGTTCCCTGTTTCTCGGAGAAAAGACTTGTGTATCCTACGGTGACAAGGTAGGCGATTTTTATTTCCCCCCATTAAGAATGTCTACAGTAGAACGTCGCTAAGACCCCTGCAGTGTATTGGAACAAACCACGTATTGCCTACACGAAAGGCTGGAAGATATACCGGTGGGTTGTGGGTTGGCAAGTACCTGAAAACACAAACGTACCAAGAAGTAAGAGACGAAAAAGCGAGTGGTGAGATAGGACGACTGTGCGCGCGATGCTCGAGGGCGGAGAATTTCGAAGGGCATGCTAGGTCTGGAGATTTGAGAGCACATAAGTACCTTCAAGATACGTATTCTTGGATCGACGAGGCAAGGAAATAGCATGCTAAGGCCTTTTAAGACTCCGAATCTAGCTTCGGCTGTATATATTGATCATGCCCGTTAGGTACTTCATCGTCATGTATAAAAGCGTCTGTCTGTTTATCCACCCTTTCATATTTTGGCCTGTCCCGTCAGCATAAATATATGTTTTATATCCTCACATATTTTGAGAAGGTTAGTAGACCGGGCAAGACCGAAAGTTGAAGTTAAATGCAGACTAGGGTTATTGATCCTAGAGGATCCCTCTCTAAGTCGACATTGGCAAGAATGAGGTTATATCGACGTGGTTTAGTAGAACAAGCAAACAATATGTCGATACTGACAGGTTACCTTCTGTAAGTGTCCAGATGGGAAGATTTAACGATTCCAAACAACCGTTTCTTGTAGGTATAACGACCATTTACGGCTGGCCATGGTACTTGGTAGGTATTGATTATGATTTAATGCTTGCCAGTTCTTGGGTATTTAATGGTTACGTCTCTCCTTAGGAAAACAGAAAAGGAGGCAAAAGATGTCACTTGTAATAGGGGTCGAACTCTGATTTTCGTTTTCCTTTTGTCTTGTATTATATATTACTACCTGTGCGTATATGAACTTATATATTTGCCATATAGGACTGAGAATGATTTGTGGTGGCTTCTATCTTTGCCGCCTAGCAACACATATTAGAAGTACGCGCAATAATCGGATGTTGTCTCATGGGGTTATCGTTCTTCTTCCGGGGCAAGGAACTACTTCTGGACACAAGAGTAATAGTTTGGCTTTTAACTATTACTGTAGGGACATATTTTTCTACCGTGCGAGCTTTTGTTGGAAAGGGGCAAGTCGCATATAAGATGTTAATTATACGGTTACTAGCTTGTATAATGTCCGGTAATTTGAATAGATATATTGGCAATACAATAAGGCTTGACCTCAACTTTTATTTCCGTCAAAGAAACCGTTGCCTTGAGTGAGTTTATATCAGGGGGAAATTCTTCTCATCTTTGGTCATCTTTGGTAATATCTAAAACTTTAAGTTAGAGGACCGCAAGGTTTGAATTCGCAACTGACGTATGTTAATAATTATTTCTAGAATTCATGTCAAACTTCCCACCTAGAGTACCTACTCATCAGTTATCTAGATAAGTGAGGTCTTTCTTGTCAAGCTTATTCTACGGAGTTGGCAGTAAGCCCCCCGGCGATGATGTTAGTTGGACTCAAAGTATAAGCGATGTGTATCCACGAAGATCCTTACTCATCCTCGTGGTCAAGTTGCTAACCAACAGCAAACCAGATAATAGACGATTTTAACATGAAATCTCGTATTGCTTGGCCCACCAAAAAAAGGCTATTACATCCCCAACATCTGAATAAGAGGAGTGATGCTGAGAAATAAAGCATTTCGATATCAATCAAACGCACAACCCAAAAAAGAAACTGCCCATCCTGGGGTCGAACCAGGGATCTTCTGATTTTTCTGCTACGGTTGATTGACAAACAAGTATAACAGTCAGACGCCTTAACCACTGGGCCAATGGGCATTGAAACTTTTCGCGTAGTTTCCAAGTGATGGTGAAAATTTTACAACTTACTTTAACTTATTACCCACAAGGCGTCGCCCACCAAGCTATGTCCTACTTGCGGGTCTCTTTTGGACCGAGCATATGAAGTCTTATACCTATCTAGTAAACACAGGGAAAGTAGCTCTTGGATTTTCTACGAGTACAATTTAGTAAGACGTCGACGTAGAATACCCCCACCTTAGTTGCTGTGTTACGGGTTTAGTAACTTCCATACCTAACTTCTATAGCATCAGCTGCTAGCTAGCTACCTTGCTCTTTGATACTCATATAAATAATAACAATAGCTCTAGAGTCTAGACTGGGGCGAATGGGTACATTGGATCTCATATCACGGATCAGTTCCTGCAACGTGGATACTGAGTCTGTGGTGCTGCCCGCAAGCCCTCAAGAGATCGATGGCTGAAAGAAAATTTTGACGGCAAGCACTTAGGCCAGTTCGATTTTGCGGAAGTGCCTGATAGAGTGGTGATTGGTGCCTACGATGAGGCCGTCAAAGGTGCATCTGGCTTCGTGCACGTTGGGCATGCTTAGGGAGTTGATAGACCGGCGAAGCTTTAAGGCCGAAGGATGTGGTATTCCCACCGCAACGGCACATTCACGTGCGTGACGATGCCGCATTGCATATGACTGTGTTGATATATCGAGATATAGATGAGGAGCGCCTCTTCGGCTTCGCTCGCCCCTTTAATATAAACGATGTTATCGGAACATTCGAAAGCATTATATCCAAACCACACGCTTGGTTAAGAAATCGCCGATGTGGGTAAAGATCCAACTACTATCATAAATGAGAGAGAGCTGAGGAGTTAGTTAAGAGGCTCACCGGTCACGGATGGATGAATCTAGAAGACGGCTTGAAGGAAACCGCTGAAGCGTTGGGGTTTCGTTAATTGTATTTTGTATAGCCATGTAAATGATGTCAACGTGCTCTGCTGAGTGTATCGAATTATCGATGGGCGGCACAAAGTGCACCCGCAACTAGACGATGTGGACTCACGATGGTGGGACCAAAAATCAAGAACAATGGCTTGTAGTTTGTTTGATTAAAAATACACTTTTTTCTTCTGATACTGCGAGAAAAGCTAATGCTGTGCACTTACGAGATACGGAATGGTTTTTAAGCCGAATGCTGCACTCTTTTTTTAAGCCCGGGGGTAAAACACCTAAGGTTGGGTCGCTTAGCTAATGGCGCCAGTTTTTACGACGCTAGAAGGTCCCAGCAAATGGGAATTGCCGTGTAGTGCGGTAGTAGTAGCTTTTTCTATGGTAGGACTTTACCTGTAACAGACGGAGGTAGTGGAATACTTGCATAATACACCCACAGAACTTGTAGCTCCTCCCTCCCGAACAAGACAAAACCACTTCAAGAGAGTGGGGAAAAAGGTGGATGGTGTCATCAATATCACTCCGGATGGCGTAAAGAAGGTTACCGAATTAGATTTCTAATTGGATTTCGAAGGTCGCCGCGCAGCTTCCATTCGCTCTCCCAGGTCTCCATCTAGATGTACAACATCATGTACGTAATAAGTACCACGGCTTAAAAAATAGGTGATTCATATGTAAATGCCATTCTCCCCAGTCGCATATAAGAAGAACTATTATATAAAATCAAAGAGGAATAAAATTACCTAAGTTAGAGACTGCCGTATATCCTCAACCCGAGACCCCGCTCAGCGAACTACTTACTAACGTTAACCGGTTACTTACACAAACACCATCGTGTAAACTTCACGACCAAACATCCCTATCAAATCCAAACTCGCGAAAATGGCCCCCAAGATCTTTCTGTAAGTAAGACCTAGGCTAGGATGGGATTCGTTTATCCTGTAAGATTAAAAGCTAATACGCTCAATAGCACCGGTGCTACTGGTACGAACCCAGCAACTACAACTCGGCTATAAGCGGCGTCTCGTCTTAGTCAACATATATGCTAAATATTGTGATAATACAGGTTACATTGGCGGTGATATTCTCTACCAGCTAAACAAAGTCCACCCCGAATATGAGTATACCCTACTTGTACGAAACGAGGAGCGAGGCAAGCCCGTCGCTGCCGCATACCCTAAAGCCCGTCTCGTCTACGGCACCCTGGACGACGCTGAGGTAATCGAAAAGGAGGCGGCAGCAGCAGACATTGTCGTTCGTATGTTATACTCTATCAAGCCATTGTAAATATAAGAAATAAAGAATCAATAACTAACACCACCTAGACACCGCCGACTCGGCCGACAATGTCCCCTCCGCAAAAGCCATTGCCAAGGGTATCGCAGCAGGCCACACGGCCGAGAAACCCGGATACTGGATCCATCTCTGCGGCACCGGCATCCTAACCTGGTACGACGTAGACAACAAGCGCTACGGACAGCCCCCCATCCCAGAGCAAAAGTACCACGACATCGACGACATCGACCGCATCCTGTCCTTCCCAGACACCGCGCTGCACAGGGACGTCGACAAGATCGTCCTGGCAGCCAACGACTCTCCCGCAGTTAAGACGCTTATCGTCGGGCCGCCCACCATCTACGGCCAAGGCCGCGGTCCTGTTAACCAGCGCAGCATCCAAGTCCCGTTACTAATCGAGTCCACCCTGAAGAACGGGTACGCACCGATCCACGCGCCCGGCCTAACCGAGTGGAACAACCTGCACATCTACGACGTAAGCGACTTCTTCGTGCGAGCCGTCGAAGCCACGCAGGACCCCGCCAAGACCAGCAACCCCGAGATCTTCGGCCCCAAGGGATACTTCTTCCTCGAGAACGGCGTGCACAAGTGGAGCGACGTCGCCCGATGGGTTGCCGACGAGGCCGCGAAGCAAGGTCTCATCCCCGAGCCTGCTACCAAGGAGGTTGACTTCCCCTTCTTTGGCGCCAATTCCAAGGCTGTCGCTGCTAGAGCGAAGAAGTATCTCGGTTGGTCGCCTAAGGGTCCGACTCTAAAGGAAGATATTGCGCCGAGCGTGGCTCTTGAGGCGAAGAGGCTGGGGAAGGCTTAGTTACCTAGGTCCGCCTGAGAGGAGAGATTAGTCACAATTACTTCTCTACCGCTAGGGAAGCTCACAGTAATGGAGAATGACATCTATATAGCTTAATGAAAAGTTCCAATTTCTGAATTAAGTAGTATGATCGAAACCATGTCCAATTTTGCGCATTTCATTCATTATCATTTCAGTCGTATAACCAAACATATCCATCATCCATATAAGGCATTCTTACAAGATTATGCGTATTAAAAGCTTGATCAAGGGTATTCTATATCGAAGTAAACCTTGACTTCGACCTCGTTACTCCAGCCAGCTGTTAGACCCATTTCTTTCCACGCTGTTTCAATGTCAATGTTTATGACATGGTTGTCGACCTTGTTTATGGTGACGGTATAGGGCGGAATTGGCTGGCCTTGAATTGTAACCATGAAATCCCGCTCGATCGACATATCCGGGAGGCTTGAGATATATATCCCTTTAATCGATTAGTATCATCACTGGGGCTTTAGCAGTAATGGAATCTTACCAAGAACTCCTAAGGCTTTGAGCCGTGTATCCAAGAACACCCTGCCCGTGTGCAAAAGCTTAGATTCGTTTGTTGTGATTGCAGCGGCACCCGTCATCTTCCCGATGAGACCCAGATTGGCGACGTATATCCTGCCATTTGTCTCACTGTCGAACCTTGTTAGAGGGAAAGCGGTAAAGATATCGTAATCCCGAACATCTAATGATACTACGAGAATAGCAGCAGAAGAAGTAGGCTCTACGACAGGCGTGACGAGGCCGCTGCGATGGGCGCGTACGACGTATAAGTTTGACACGGATACGCCTGGAATATGTAAGAGGGAGATGAGTTCCCTTACCGCCCGGCGTGATACGTTGAAGACACCCAAGAGTGGCGTCCCAGTCGCCGCTCGGCCGTGGTAGCTCCCGATTTTGAGGATCACTGGCTCGTCGTAGCTGGTATAGGCATCGATGCTCTTCCCTATTACGCTAGGCCTGAAAATAACAGTCTTACCTCGTGGCGTCGGTCCCGTCATCTCAGAAATCAGACCAACATTATGCTTCCCAGGAGTATCCGTAATATAGATTGGCCCACCGCTAAGACACCGCGCAGCAGCATGAAAACCAGCAAATTCGTGGTCAGTTTGGAACATATCCCAATCTGGTAGGATGTTAAGATGCTGGGTAAGCAATGCGTTGTGGGCATTCGCGAAGAGATGCCACGGATGCGAATCCGGTATATCGGGATAAAAGTCGTCAGAGTTACGCGCGAGCATAGTTGGTCGATTATGTGACAGTTGCTGAAGGAATAAGAGCTGCGGCGCTTGTGACATGCATGATATGGCTTTAAGGCTGAAATACCGCAGAGCCGATATCATCCAGCTATCGAGATAGGTTTCGGTAAGTTCTCGACGGTGCTTGGCAGAGACCCAGGTATCTATCATGTACTGCACATCCGTCTTAACACCATCGATTCCACAATCAGATAAGAAGTGATAAAAGTCGTTATAGAATTTGCCAACGTCTTCTTTTGCAATAACAGTCATGGGACTGGTCAGGTTAGAATCGGTACGATCGATCCGCACTGTCTTATAAGTCTGGGCAAGGTCGCCATTGCTTGAAATCCCTCCCCAGTAACCAAGCAAAGCATGCCAGACAGCGATATGTTGGATGCTAGGATTCTTTGAGCGAATGAGAGATACCGTGTCTTTAAGTCCATTAGGGAACGCGTTTGGCTCGGCCTCAAATCCATTCCAACCATGTTGATATTGATCCTGACCCTGGTAATCAACATCTTGCCAGTTGTCGTCTATGATAAGACTGCTAATATTGATGCCGTCTTTTGCCAACGACTCAACAGCACTTATTATTTTCTGATCTGTCAATCGTTGACCTAGTGCATTCCAAGTACCTGTTCGTTTGTTAGGCCATGTGAGATTTGTCAAGAAGCAATCGAGACAGAAGATTACTTACA